AAAAACCCTACATTTGTAAGTTGCACTTTCATGATAAAGAGATTGCACTACAGTACTTGTATAAGGTGAATTGAAAAACACTATTTCTTTTTTATCATTTTTACAGGGCAAATATTTGTAATCAAAATAATAAAAAGTGAGCACTGTACACTTTGTATTCTGTGTTGTAATTGAAATCGATATATTTGAAAATGTAGAAAAACATCCAAAATATTTTTCAGTTGGTATTCTATTGCTTAGTGCGATTAATCACGATTAATTTTTTTGATTTAATCACGTGAGTTAACTGATTAATCGACAGCCCTAGTTTATACCCTTTAAATAATTATAAACTGTTGAAGCTAGACAAATTCATATTGGAAATAATGCATACATTTATAGCGGTGAGAGTAATTAACCATTGGAACAATTTACCAGGGGTCGTGGGATATTGTCCATTATTGGCAGTTTTAAAATCAAGATTGGATGTTTTTCTGAAAGATCTGCTCTAAAAATTATTTTTGGGAAGTTCTATGGCCTGTGTTTTACAGGAGGTCAGACAAATGAGCAAATAAGTAATTTTACTTTTAGAGAACCACATAATGCTTGTCTTGCTAAACTTTTGATCATTTTGATATATCTACTGTAACTTTTAAAGGTTTGGACATTTTAAATATTTATCTATCTTTTAATTCTCGACAAAGGTTTCATGGGTGTGTTTTAAAATGTCTGCTGTGATTTGCCACCTTTTGTGTCAGGAATATTTTAATAAACTCCTTTTGTTATATTGTTTTGTACATGCAGACCAAGCATACCACAGAATATATAATTGTTGGAGAAAGTTGAGAGCAGCATTACATCAGGGCCAAAAAGTAAAATTTTAGTTTGAATAGGAATCACTTGACGTTACATTTATTTTATTCTTCCCCATCCCTGCCTCAGAGCTTAGATCCCATGTATCTTAAAATAATTATACTTTGTCCTTTTAGGGTAGGTCATTTATGGTTTTCACATGCTTTACAAACATTATTTATTTTAAACTTCTCAATACTTGTGCAAGGTGGATATTGCTATACACATTTTACAGATCAATAAACTCAGACCCAAATAAGAGAAAGGGTTTCATGGTTAAGACACTGGACTGTGACTCAGGAGACCTAGGTTTTATTTTTGGTTCTGCCACATGTTTCCTATGTTACTTTGGTTAAGTTAAGTCGGTCTCCATTCAGCAAGATATTTAAACTTGTGCCTAACTTAACGCATATGCATAGTCCCACTGAATTCAGGAGAACTATTCACATGCTGATAGTTAGGCACTTGTTTAATTTTTTTCTTGGTCATGGCCTTAATCTCTCTGTATCTCAATCCCCCATCTATAAAATAGGAATAATAAAACTCCTTTGTCTGTCTTGCCTATGTAGACTTTAAGCTCTTCGGGCAAGATCTTCTCTTGATCAGTGAGACAAAGATGATGTAGTATGTATGGCGCCTCGCACTATGATCTTGATCTCAATTGGTGCCTCTCGGCACTACTGTAAAACAAATAATAAATAAAAAAATAGCAGGGCCTCAATCTCAGAGTCTCTAAGTGCTGTAGTAATACAAATTGTGTACATATTAATAAGAGAAGTTAAAAGTCTGATTCTGTGACCTGTTTGTGAGTCAGAAAGACAGGTAGGGACTACTCAATAGGACTTCTTGTGTGAGCTTAGGTTCAAGACTAAGCCCTTTGTGACTTGCCGTGTATTAAGGCTGAACCAGGCATACAACCCATCAGCCTTGATTGAGAGTTACCTCACCTGCCCACCAGATAGTAATGGTTCTGGCTGCATATTCAATTTTTGTTTATTTGTTTTAATTTTGTCTGATCTGCATTTCTGAATATATTTTTGTTTTGTTTTAGGCTTTCACTAAATCTGTTGGCAATGTCTATGATCTTATCTGCCTCAGTGGTCCGTGTTAGAGATGGGCTCCCGCTATCTGCCTCTACAGATTATGAGCAAAGCATGGGAGTGCAGCAATGTAGAAAATATTTTAAAACACTCTCGAAGAAGCTTGCTCAGCTTCCTGATAGATGTACGCTGAAAGCTGGCCAGTATAATATAAAGTAAGAATTTCTTTTTTTATCCTTGTAACATTCCTGAGTGGTGTTTAGTTAACAGTTGCAGTGTAGAGGTAATGAATTAAATTACAAAAATAATTGTTGATAGTTATTCTTATTTGGAAATTGAAAGTTAAGACACGTTTGACTTTAAAGACATTTATATTCTGGTGGAAATCCTAGTTTGATGTAACCTGCATTGTTATAAATATTTAAATTATAGACCTACTAGAGTCTTGCAAGATTAAGCATTTTTAAGATTTGTTCCATTATCCTATTGTTTTCAAGATAGTGTGTGGCATTATAAGCCCCAGGAGATCAGGAGACTTGTGATTAGTCCTTGGATATTTTTTGTTATGGTAGTTCAAGGAAATTATGATAGTTTAATTTTCTTTGTCTGATCTGAATTATCAAAATATAAAATGAATGTAAAATTACTACCTTTTCAAATCGTAAGTCTGTATATAAAAATGTGTTATAGAATTGGGGCCAGATTGTTACAGATATGTACGTGGCTAACTCATTGAAATCAGTAGGAGTCAGTGGTCTAGATACTTTTAAAAATCTGGGCTATAGAGCCTAACCTGCGTGCCTTGTTCACCTAAAATTACTATTAACTTCAGTGGGAGCATTGCATATGTAAGGAATACAGGATTTGCACCCTTACAAATTAAGGTAACACCAATAGCAAACGTTCCTTTGGATAGGGACCATGTTTTCTTACATCTGTAAAGCACCTGGCTCAGTAGAGCCTCCGTCCTGATTGGAGTATGCTAGCTGCCTCCATAATATAAATAATAATAATAATATGCAATATATATATATGGCGGAAATATTCCATGATTAAATGTGCACTGTTGAGATAAACATCTTATCATTATCAGCCTAGTTTATTAATAAACAGTTACTTAGTAAACACCAAAATCTAATTTACTTTTCATCTTTTACTTTACTCAGCTTGGACAGTGAAACTAAAGTTTCCCTTATGGGTCTCATGCATTAACACATTGCTATTACATTTCTTTCCAGTACTTAAGGTAACTCTTTACATCGCCCGAACCCTCTATCTTTTCCATCTCTCCCCAATTTTTTAAGTTGTACTCATATTTTAAAAAGTCTTGAAAATATTTATTAAAAGTTTTTATAAAAGCATTTTCCTATGTATGTCTGTGCTTTTCTATAATGCTCATCAGTGTAATTTTGTGTTCTCATGAATTAATTAATTAATGAGCATATGCAGGATGTATCAATGAGGTAGAAGAAGTAGAATAGTCCCAATTTATGGAGATGGGGAATTGCAGCACAGAAAAGGAAAGTGCCTGAAGTCTGTGGCAGAGCTTTGAGTAGAATCCAGGGATCCTGAAGCCCATCCAGCATCTTCACAATGGTGCCACTGATTCTCTTAAAACTTTTTTGGTTTTGATTTTTACCAGGCTTAAAATTTGGATCTAAAGTATTTGACAGTGCCCATGCATATTGGTGCTATGTAGTTAATATAACAATGCAGAATGTATTCTTTTCCTTCATTGTAGTTTTGAAACTTTTTGGATTATCCTGAAATAGTTATCTGACTATCATGTTCACTTTTCAAATACTACTTGATAAGTATTTTATTTTGGGGTTTTGGGTTTTTTTTAGGTATCACTCACTAGAAAGGTGTTTCTGTGGGAAAAGAGTTAAGGCAGGTCTACACTACACAGTTAATTATATCAGTGTGTACACTACAGCCTTCCTTCTACCAGTGTAAGTGCCCTACTACACCGATATAATAACTCCACCTCCACGAGAGGCGTGAGGCTTATGTCGGTGTAGTTAGAACAATACTGTGTTGCTTACATTGGCTGTCTTATTAATTTCACGGCATGAGCTGTGAAATTAACAAGAAAGCCCCCACTTCCCTGGAGAGCTGAGTGGCTAGACCCTACTCCCGGCCCGGAGCCGGGCCAGAGGCCGGGGTGGCTTTGGGACCCCATTCCTTGCCTGGAGTTTAGCAGTCTAATCAGTTTCACAGCTCCCTGAGCTGTGAAATTGACAAGGCTGCAGGGCTCCCAGTGGGCAGGCGGGGGATCTGGAGGGGGGAAGTAGCCAGGACAGCTGAACACCTCTCTGCAGTGGTGAGAAGCCCCAGGTGGCTTCCCCCTGCTCCTGGCGGGGGATGGGTAGGGGAGAACCCTGGGTGACTTCCCCCTGCTCCTGGCAGAGAATGGGTAAGGCAGAAGCCCAGGGGCTGGGGGTGGGGGGCAGCCCACCGGGAGCTCGCGGGGCAGCCAGGCTTCTGGCAGGGAGCTGCCAGTGGAGTTGAGAGCCCCATACTGCTGCTGTTAGGTCAGTGGAAGCGCTCTGGTGAAGTGCTTACATTTATAATGGTGAGAGTAATTAACCATTGGAACAATTTACCAGGGATCGTGGGAGATTGTCCATTATTGGCAGTTTTAAAATCAAGATTGGATGTTTTTCTGAAAGATCTGCTCTAGGAGTTATTTTTGGTAAGTTCTATGGCCTGTGTCCGCGTTTATAGTGGAAACGCACCACTGACCCAAGCAGGGTAGTGTGGACACGCACCACTGCAGCAATTGCTGTGGTGGCTGTAAGTTGACCTGCACCTCTGAGGATCAGGCCATAGACAGCCTGAACTTTTCCAGTTTCAGTTTCTCTGATTCTTTGATTCAGCATGGTTGGCAGGCTCAGCTCAAGAAAGGTTCTTACAAAAGCAGGTCAGAAGAGCAGTGGCAGTTCTGCATGAAGAATCTTGCGCAACACTTAACTTTACTAATTCTGGCTCTAGCCAGTGTTGCCTGTCTCTCACTTTCATGAGCATGAAATTAACCAAAATTAAAAGGTCAGGGATTTAATGTCTTTTCCCCCAACCATTCAGCATACTGAATAATAAAAAAAAAAAAAACATTAGCGTTAGAAATGTTTTATGTGGCTGCTTAATGGTAGCTATTGTATTCTAATAACTTCTGTGGCTCATTGATGTAACTGTTTAATGTTATAACTATCACAACATATGAGTAAAGGGTTAGCCTCTTGGTTTATTTTCAAAACAACCCCACTAATTATCCTCTTCCCCCCCCCCCAAATTTGTGCTTTTACCTTCGTTTTGCCACTCATTGTAGCTATGCTTCAGACAACACAAAAAGAACAGTTTTCACAAAACAAATATTCACAGTGGCTGATATTTTTATCTCTGTGAATTAAGATAAATGCAAGCAATGAAACCTAAGCTATAGTTGTTAAGGTAGAGCAAATATCGATTCTGTGTGTGTAAATGAAAATGAAAAAGTCAATATTTCCTCTCAGAAGTTAATGATCATTGCTTTAACTAATTATGCAAAAAATATTGCACTGTGGCTTTGACTTTATTAATAAACTTCAGTAGTAAATCTTAATACATCTATAATTTCTTTGACAACTGATAAACTAAAAAGAAACTTTAAAGAACTGGACATCATGTGTAATCAAAGATTTTATATATTTACCATCTATTAGTAAGACTCTGTGTTAAAATCTTGATATATAATGATTAGGTTGATTATTTTAAGCTGTATATGACAGATACTTCAACTAATTTTGAAACTTCTGTTTCATGAACCAATAATTGAATACAACAATTTGTTAACATCTAAGTGAAATATGTATAAGTATATACCAAATGTTTATTTGGAAAGGGGGGAAGATTTTCCTGTCTCTGGTCATCTTCATCTCCATCTCTGGATACTGATGAAACATCCTTTCTATGGAAGAGTTTAATACCCTCACTTATAAAAAATAATTCTGAAGAGCAGTTTTTTGCCTTTGGAATGCACCAGATGGCATGTTCTGCTTTTATTCTAAATGTGCCATTCCCAGGAGAGGATACCCATGTGTTCCCCCCCCGGCCCTCCTGCCTAAGGATTTTATCATAATCTCCCTCTCTTCCACACGTTAGTTCGTTGCAACACACTATACACTTTTATATGTATAACATACCTTCTCATTCATTAATACAATTCTGTTTAAAAGAAAGATATTATCTAAAAGTAATTTTTCCCTAAAACAATCTCTGGCTTTTTCAATAAATATTAATGTCTTCATAACCCCATAGAAGTTTTTTGCTTCTCTGTTTATGGGATATAGAACCAGTCTTGCAAAGCTGTAAGTTACATGGACTTAATTTTGAAATTTTAAAACCATTTTTTAAATTATAGTTTTATTAGCTCTCTGGGAGTGAGCTACATGATGCTGTGCACTGAAAATTACCCCAGTGTTCTGGCTTTCTGCTTCCTGGATGAGCTTCAGAAAGAGTTCATCACCACGTACAATATGATGAGGACAAATACTGCCATCCGGCCATACTGTTTCATAGAGTTTGGTAAGGATCTGACTGTTTACTACAGTAACTCTTTCAAACCTAATTCAAATTCAACTAACTATTTTAAAGAACGTACAACTTAAAACATAGTTAGTTAGCTTTAGGGTGATTTAGGGCCTAATCCAGCTCCCATTAAAGTCAATAGAAAGTTTCCCATAGTCTTTGGTGGGAGTTGAATCAGTCTGTTAGAGCCTGATGCAAAATCCATTGGAAATTTTTCCATTAACTTCAATAAGTTTTAGATCAGATTCTGCGTGAACAAATATGGATGAGTTTAACTTCTGCCAGTTAGTAATATGTTGAGATGTTTGACATTATACCCGTATCAAAATATTGAACCTATAAAGACATTGAGCTTTGTAAGCCATTTCCAAATTAAAAAATCCCAGTTATATGTTTGCTCTTCACTGTGTAATAGTTATTTGTTCAATGCAAAGAAAGGAAGTGAAGATTTTGATTTGCTTTATGCATTGAATTTTCTGTGATTCAAGCTTCAAATACCTACTACATGTGGCGTTACTTGTAGCATCTCTTGTGGTTTCTGCTGATATCTACAGTGGCTTAAAAATTATACCTTCATTTGGAGGTAAAATAAACTAGTTTTATGTATTCTAACAAAATAAATTTTAGACAGAGTAAAAGGAATACAAGGTGCAGAAAAATGTGGTACCTACTAAATTCATTCAATTTTCCAATGCAGCTGATCTAGTCTGTTTTTTAAAGGTGTCCTTTAGAATAACCACTGTTTGCTTTCTTTCCTTTCTCCATCCTTCAGTGTGTTTTCCTAGCTGTTAGTTAAGAGAGTAATTTCGTTATATTGGTGTGTTTACTGCTGAGGAGAGAAGATATAATGAAAGTATTCAGCCCTAATATTTTGCAATTTAAGTCACATTTTAGAATTAAGTGCATTTATATCTGAAAAAAGAATTATTTTATTTTTATAAGAATATTTGCTAAATTGACAGAGAAGCTAAAACTAGTGAAATAAATCCATTATATTAGCAGTGCTTTCAGTATCATGCCGTGGCAAGTCATTAGTTTATTCACAGTCGTTAAGTAATTAGATTTCTAGAGCTTAATTTTTTATACTGCAGAATTAATTAGTCCATGATATATTAGTCATAAAACAGAAATAGTATTAGAATGTTCCAAGATAAATGTAAGAATTTCAAATAATAAATTTAAATTTGTATTTTAGAAATATATGACCCATAAAGCCTCACTCTGGAATGATTTAATTAACAAATGTCTATAGGGATATTTTTTTTTAATTTTACACAGATAATTTTATTCAAAGGACCAAGCAGAGATATAATAACCCACGGTCTCTGTCGACAAAGATAAATCTTGCTGACATGCAGACAGAAATCAAGCTGAGACCACCTTATCAAATTTCCATGTCTGAACTTGGTTCAACTAATGGATTTGCACACTTATCTGCTGCAGAATTTAAGGGTACTGGTAAGATATCTACTGGTGAGTTTGGTACCTTAATTACTATTATTTTATGTGAACCAGATACAAAGCCATATGTTTACTTTGCCTTTTTTTTTTAATCAAAATGAAATATGGAAAATAATGCCAAACCTGGTACTTTGTTAGTTGCTAGTCTGTATAAAGAACAATTGCCATGACATAGGATGTGTGTCCTTGTTTAGCAGGTGTGGCTTCAGTTAATTACTCTTCCCCTGCAGCTTCCATAGAGGGCAATTACTGATAGACTGGTTTCTAAATGAAAATATACAAGTGAAGGTAGACATTTAAATATGCATTTTTTATAAGACTCATAAATCAGTTAGTGATTTCTTTATAATGGGATCTGAAGGCATCATGAAAGCATTGTATTGCTGTCGGCATGTCAAGACTACTGGACTCAGTGGGAAGAGCATCGCATAGGGCAGGTCCTTGACATTCAAATTCAAAGTAATTATCCTGTTTAAATTCAGTACTCTTTAAAAAAATGTTTGTACCTAGTACATCACATCAGTAATAGCGTATTTTTATTGTCATGACAGTTCTATTTTAAGTCTTGAATTTTTTCATGTATATCATGAAAAGAATAAATTTTATAGGGTAACTTTTAAAGCACATATGATAACTAATGCATTGGTGAGTTTGGATATTAGAGTACTATATACTGACATGATTCTAGACTTTATCTTGTGATATTAAAAACACTTTCAAGCAGTTAAGCTCCAAATTTGGATATTTTCCAGCAGAATAGAAGAATGAAAACAAGAACACAAAAACATTGTACTAATGCATGGATTCTACAAATGAAACTGACTAGAGAAAGTGAAACAAAATAGTCTAGTTTCAATCTTCAAGTTCAGTGAAGTGAAAAAATAGAATAAATGATGAAAACTTAATTTAAATGTTAAACATTTTTCATTTAAAAATATCTTTGGTCCTGATGCTCATCCACATGGGCAGACTCTGTCAGGGCCGCCCAGAGGATTCAGGGGGCCTGGGGTTATCTGCGGTGGGGGGCCCCGCCGCCAAAGACCTGGCACTTTGGCGGCGGGTCCCGGAGCGGAAGGACCCCCCGCTGCCGAATTGCCGCCGAAGACCCGGAGTGGAAGAAGCTCTGGGGGCCCGGGCCCCACGAGAGTTTTCCGGGGCCCCTGGAACAAGTGAAGGACCCCGCTCCAAGGGCCCCGAAAAACTCTTGTGGGGACCCCTGTGGGGCCCGGCGCCTGGGGCAAATTGCCCCACTTGCCCCCCCCTCTGGGCGGCCCTGGACTCTGTACCAAACAGTTCATCTTGCAGGATTAGGGCCTGAACTAATGACACAAATGTGAACTCTTATTAAAGTACTGTAAAATAAGTGATCAGCTACAATTCGTACACTTTCGCAAATATTAAGTCACTTTAACTATTATGCTAGTAATTCTTTTTCAGCGATTACCTTAAACACTTCAGTTTCTTCTATTTCTACTGTAGGTTTTCTCTCTACAGATGTTAAAATGCTGTTTTAGTTGAAAAAGGTACATTGCTAGGTGTTTGTTCAGTGCCCACCACAGTGGGGTTCTGATCCTAATTGAGACTTTTAGGAGCTATCAAAGTGCAAATAATTTATAGTTATAATGATTATAACGTTGATATTGACAAAAAAATAATCTAACTACTGCAACAACAAAGGAGAATGTGTAATCAGGTTCAAATTATTTAGGACAGTGGTACCTCTCAAGTTATGCCATATACCTATGCTAAATCATCCAGGGCATTCTTAATATTGTTGGTGACTGATGGAGAAATGTGGAAAACCTTTTCAGTACCACTTCTGCTTGTGTATATATGTACTATACATTTTTATTATAATTCTGTGGACATTCTATGGACTCCTTTTATCGCTTCTGACACTTGCACCTTTCTTCAGAGTTAATCTCCTGCTACTTATTTAACAGCCTGATGTAATCCTGTGTCTGTGGCAAAGGTTATGGTGTCACAAGTGGAAGCAAATAAACTCAATAAAAATCCTCTGGATGGAGTTTATGGTTAAAAGGAAAAATACTGAACGTCTATGGCAGAGGGCAGAATTATTTCTAAATAGATTATTTTTAAAAAGTGTTTTCAGGAAGCATTAGATGCTTATTTATGACACTGTTAGAATAAAAGATCCTCTGAGAACATAATAGCTTAAATTCAAATGCAGCAAGGCACATTTCTTTCTCTTTTCCATTCTTCCTTTCTTTTTTCTTTATCATGTTATCACAAGTTAAAGATTTTTTTTAAAAAAACTTTAAATCAGAAGTCAGAGTTCCCTTGCTGGTTTTTGCTTGACCTGATTGTTTCAGAAGTATTGCTTCCTGACATTTCTCAATTTTCCTGTCATATTTTCATTTAATTAGTTTGTCCTTCCTCTCTATTTTACATATTTTTCTCTTCTCTTCTTTCTTTCTGGAATTTGCCTGGTTGCAGACTCTCCCGCTCAAGGCCTATACATCCAGGGAAGATCACACTCTGTTTTTTCTCCCAATATTTAAGTTTTAGCTGCCTTTTGCTCCTGATAGAAAGGACCATTGGATACTACAGTGTTTGGAGTGTAATTATTCCTTTAATACAAGTCTTTTATCTTAGAGCAGTTCCAGAATGTCACAGGTCAGCTGCTTGCTCAAATATAAGCTTGCAACCATCTCCCAGAGTAACGACTTGCTTAAAAAATCTTCGCTGTCTGTCTGATACCTATGCAGCAGGTCAGACTTCCCCATTTCTCTTCTGTTCCAAGGATAACTTTTCCAAATGTGACCTTCCTTGCTCAAAGTCCCATAATTCTTTTGCTTTCCCATTCAGATATGAGTTTTGTGATGGGTGAGTTACATGTCTTAAACCACTTCAGCTAGTAAGTGGTGCTAAATAGACACACAGGCCAAATTCTGTTTTGTTACACGAGTGTAACTTGAGAGCAGAATTTGACCCATTAACTGTAGCTGTAATGGTAAAGCATTTGGCATTACTAGCATGGATACAGCTATTGGGCATATATCTGATGTTGAACAATATTTAGAGTCTAGGCTCATGAAAATGTTGTTCAAATGATTGAAAATTGGAATCCTTTCTTTAGAGAACAACTGTTCTGTATAATGAATAAATTAAAGCTATTTTTTAATGTAGGGACTGGACCGGCTTCTCCGGCGGTGATTTAAAGGGCCCAGAGCTCCAGCCACTGAAGGGAGCCCCCAGGCCCTTTAAATCGCTTCCGGAGCCCTGCCGCCGCTACCCCAGCCCTAGCCTGAGCCCTGCCACCCCAGGGTAGCAGCGGCAGGGCTCCCGCAGTGATTTAAAGGGCCCGGAGCTCCGTGGCGGCTGGAGCCCCGGGCCCTTTAATTCGCTCCTGAGCCCCGGGCTCCCAGCCGCCTCTGCAGCTGGTAGCTCCGGAGTGATTTAAAGGCCCTGGGGCTCCCAGCCACAGCCGGAGCCCCAGGGCCTTTAAATCTTGAAAGGCCCCGCCTCTTCCGGTTGAGGCCCCGCCTCTTCTGGTTGAGACCACGCCCCGCTCAGGACTCCGGCGTACTGGTAAGTCCTTTAAGTTACTTTCACCCCTGGGTATGCAGCATGCAAACTCCTGATAGTATTTTGCTTTAAAGATAATTTCAGGTTTCATCATGCTTTAGAAATGTGGTGATAACAGACTGTTAATTTGTTGTATACATTTGTCTGGTTAGGGCAGATTTTAAATATTTTTAAAGCTTTTTTTCAAATGTCAGTTTCTAAAGTTAAGGTGCTATTAACTTTCCTACTTTTAAAATAAGGAATTCCAGTAGAACTGGTACAGTCTCTCAAATCAGTGGAACTAAAAGAGGTACTCGCTGTATAAATTAGTAAAAATAGTACATTGAGGTTTAAATATAATAAGGTAAACAGCAATAAAACGTACTACATATCTAGCAGAAGGCCGGGTTACACTTCTTGGAGCTCCCTTAAGCCACTAAAAAGTTGAGTGCTTGATATTTCAATCACAATATTCCATTACATTTTTTAAAATGGCAGCTGGGGAGGGAGAACAGGAGAAATGTGAATAAATTTAAAGTCATTCTTTACAGGGAATGTACAAGTTCTGACATCAGAATTTGTACGTTTTTTGATCCCGGGCCTATACTAAAAACTCACTAATTTAGTGATTATCTGCTGTCTTCTCTTAAGAGTTTATAAACTCCACAGGCTGATGGACCTAGTGGCTCTAGTACAGCTTGTCTTTTACTCTGCCATCTTTAACTGACATTCTAAATTCTGTTGTTATGCATTTATTTGCTGTCTGGTGCTTAGCTCTTTTGATAATAGAGTGTAATCCCTTGAGGAGCTTAATAGCTTTAGCAATGGTGTAGATTGTCCTTAATTAGAGTGCCTGAAAATTGTTTTAAAGAAAAAACAGAGAAAGGTTCTAACTCTCATGCACAAAATTGCTGATTTTTGCTGACAAAACTGTTGACTTTTCCAGAATAAGACGTCCCTCATTTTTGTGTTCTCAAAATGTAAAATTCCTGATTGGAATATATGGGGAAAATGTGAGTGTGGCTTTCCTCCCTCTACTCATAAAACTGAACAAGAGCTGAACTAATTTTACCCAACAGTTTAAATAAATGCAATTTGGCTGAGACTAAAATTTCAGCCGGAAAAAAAAAAAGTTTGAAAAAAGTTAAAAGTAACTGAAGAAGTTAGAATGGAAATTGGCATCCAACCTTAACTTTAGTAGTTGCCACATCTAATGTGTCTTGTGGTTAGAATAAAAATAAGTTATCGAAGTTGAGCATCAAGGTATTTTTTTGTTTAAAACAAAAACACATGTTAAGTCTTGTACAAATTAGTTATAACAAAACATATATGTTGAGCATAATAAAGTTAAGACACAATGACACTCAAACAGTCTTATGTGCTTATCAGGAGAAATAGCTTTTGTCATATTTTTTGTGGTTTCTGTAACTTTCTGAACTATTTGGAGAGCCTTTGTCTGCAGCTGTTAAGTGCAAACAATCAGGATTGACACCCCTCTCTATATTAATGTTACAGTTCATTAACTTCATTGTTTGCACCTTTACACTTCACTGATTTAAGCAAAATGATTTAAATATGTGAACCTCTTGTGCCCCTCCCCCCTCCCCCATGTTGCATAGACTGTTACGGATTTTGTGTTGGATTCCCTCTCCACCCCCCGCCATTTTATTTGTTGTGGAAATGCACAATAATGATTAATACACATTTGCAGTCATTTGTGTAACTGTGTCCCCTCATAAACACAAATAAATGTGTGCAGAGAAATGTATATTTTCAAATCCCTTTCTGTTTTTGTTTTTAATATAATCAGTAAGAGACTTTTGAATCACAACTGGAAAGTATGTATCCTATTGTAGTACAAATACTAGCTGTAGTTCCAGTATTTTTCTCCATTTGTATCTCTGGTAGCATTTACAGCTGGTGTGCTTTGCTGTAGTGGCATGTAATAGGCTTTGCCTCACAGCATTTCGTTCAGCAAACAAGTTAAATGAGTCCTGATAGCCCTTACTAATGCGTTTAGTGTTAAAGAAGAGTGAAGGTTGTGAAAGGAGCTCTCAAGTATGTGACTTATTAGCTGGTTGCTAATTTTGGACAAATTTTACCAGCAAGTACATTATTGGGTATTGATTTACTGGTATGTTTGAACAGTCCGCAGCACCGTGCTGAATAAACTGGATATCTCAAGTTAAATTTCTTCTTTAACAAAGACATTACTTCAACTAAAATACAGACTTGATGTTCCTTAAAGTATATTTTATCAAATCTTTCACTCTTTTTAGAATTTTACGTATACATTAAAGGTTTACCAACTTTAATTATGTGTTTTTGAGCAGGAAGAAGTCACTGAAAAATAAGATTTATATTTTTCTAAACTTTAAGGAAAATGCTTTGATTTATTTCATATCATTTTTTTCCTGTGCCTTGCAGCTCCTCATCAACGACTGGAAGCTGTTACTCTGCCAGGGATTGTTTCATTTATACTGAGCCTGTTATGTGGGGCTTTGAATTTAATTAGAGGATTTCATGCCATAGAAAGTCTTCTGCAGGTACTGTACCATGTTTACAACTCTGTAGTGGGGAAGAACTGAAATCAAAGTGCCATGTTTGTGCAAAATATCAATCATAATTAGCTCATATAAACTTTACAGTATGAACCAAATCCTTCTATCCTAATTCATATGAATGTTCCTATTGATTTCAGACCCAATATGTATATTACTACACTACTCCTGGGGGAATTACACACACACAATTCATGTTTGGCGCAGAATTTTTTTATTTCCCGCAGAAAATACATTCTGCCCAAGAAGTGCTGCAATTCTGCCTTTTGCCCACCAGAGGCCACTGTGGCACCAGAACAGCCATCTGACCAGTAGTAACAGCTAGCAGCCAGCTGCGTTCATTACAGCAGCCTGCCCGTGGAGGCAGGTTAGGTGGGAGAGTGGGGCACAGGGGGCTGCTGTGGGGGTCAGAGATTAGGGTCAGAAGGGCTAGTGGGGGGACAGACTGGGGTATGGGCTGAGAAGCTAGTGAGGTGACAGCATTGAGCCAAGGGCTGAATGGGAGGGGGGCTCCAGGGCCACATGGGGATGGGGGCAGGGTTTCCAGGGCCACATGGAGACAGGGGCAGATGTGCCTGACTGAATGGGAGAGCCTTGATGTCAGCCAGGGTCCATACTTCTCCCACCCACACCTAACAACCCTCCAGGTTCACTCCCAGGCTCCTTCCCTCTACCTCAGCTCCTCCGTTACCCTTGACTCCCCCAAGCCTTTGCACTGCTTTTGAGAGGTGCGGAAAATACATTTCTGTATTGTAGTTTAAATGAATTACTCAACGTTCTGTATTAATATATCTAGTAAGGAATCTATTTGTCAAAAAACATTTCCTGAATCTTTTTATTTTTTTGTCTGTATTGTTAGACATACTTGCTGACAGGTATTTTGAAATAAATTACCAAAATAATTGAAACTGGAGTGATCATATTGTGTTATTTTGACAAATAAAATATGCAGAATTTTGCAGAATTTATTTTTTGGCACAAAATTCCCCCAGGAGTAATATTCTATATCCATTATTGAGTGTGTACAGGAAGAGATGTTCAAAAGTGCCTAATGGAGTTTGTAAATCAGTGGAAGATGGGCAGCTAACTCCCTTAGATACTTTTGCAAATCCCACCAGTACAGGGCATAGACTGCTGTTTTCTAAACCCATGCCATAATGATAAACTTTGAAAAGCCACTTTTTCATTGGTGTCTGTTATGCATAATGCTCGAACAAAATGATATGCCTTCAAAATTTGGACAGTCTAGCCCATTGTCAGCAAAGAACCACAGAACATGGGTCTTTGAAGGATTTTTGTAACCAGGACCTTTGTTCCTTTGAGAATAAAATGAAAAATTATGTACTTGGTTATGGGAAGTTCTGTCCCTTTTAAAATATATTTGCATTCAATATTGTGATTCATGACCTTGCAATGAATAAGAGGTTTTTCTTTGTACACCATTACTTCTATAGGATACATTGCCATTGATATTATGTACTGAATGGAGGATACTGTGCTTTTAGAAGGGCACATCTTCTGATGGTGTAAATTGTCATAGCTCCATTGAAGTCAGTGAAGCTATGACAATAGACAGCTGCTGAGTATCTGCCCCAGTTAAAACATTAAACTGAGGTCCTCTCATGATGGTTGTCCTAGTGGAAGATGAAGATCCTGTGGTGGCTTTCAAAAGGAGTAGGGGGAATCTTACTATTTTGGTTAATATTTATTCTCTCAGTAAAGTAAATTCAGGTGTATAAGACTTTGTGCACTATTCCTTCATAATCACGCATTATCAGTGTTTGCTTAATCACTTTTTAAGGACACTGGTTACCTAAAATATGAAAGATGGTGTGTGCATTCTAATTGTGTTCTGTATACATACTTGTGTATTAATTTAAACATTAACAGTTGAGGCCCAGGGCATTTCCTGAAGATTAATGAATGGCTGGGAGGAGTTGATGAAAATGCCCTATGCCAAGGTCGTTGTTACTATTACAAACTGAAAATGAGAATAAAGCCAAGGTATATGGATTTTTTTAATGCATTATGCAGTTTCATGTGGCATTTCTAGAGAATTAATGCCCTGTTCCTTCACAAATCATATTTCTTATATATTATGTACATATAAATAATATTTCCTGAATGCTTTATCGCCATGCCATTAGATTTATAAATATAAATTACAGTACAGAGTTGCACAAATAGCGGACAGAATTTCACCTCTTTAATTGTATAATATCTGTATTACTTATTCTGTTTCTAAAGGAACACAGCTGCAGAAGGATATTCCAGTGTAGAATTAACCTATGTAACCAATAATGTGGTGGCCAATTCAGTTTCTTTCGATGGTGGATAGTGATTTACAGATGGAATATAGTGTTTAGTATTTAATTCCTGGCATTTTGGATCCACCCAAAATAAGTGAAATGAAGAGGAATTTAAAATTAACATGGAATAAATCCATAAAGGTCAAGGCAGAAGTCATCCGAACACAATGTTAAATGGAAGTTTAACTCCAGGGGAAAAAAAATCTTTCATTACAAAGGTTCCTTCTGAATTTAGAATACTTTCCTTTTTAATCAATAATTCATTTAGAGGTTACAAAACTACTTTGTAACCTGTAGTTACACTGTACTGGATTCTGTTGTGACTGTGAGGTGAAAGTTTTTATAATCTGTTGAAGTTCTGTTCCTGGACATAAATTTTGTGTGCAGAAGTACAGATTTTTTTTATAGCCAGAGCTACAGATGAGAGAACTTCAAGCTAAACGTGTTCTCAAGAGAGAGGGGCTGTAGTTCCAAATGGACCAGCTTCCTTTAGAAATGGAATTCTCCTTGATGAAAAACAGATTGCATGAGTGCCCTTGTTCGTATGGGAAAGTTTCTGATTGTGGCAGATGTTTGTTTGAAAAGCATGAAAATGCAGTCTAGAATAATCACTGTAAATTTATTCTGCTCAGCCTCATGGAAAATATTAAAACCTGTTTGAATATATTAGAAGAAATAAGTCTGTTTAAGGAAAAGCATCTTAAAGTGAGAAAATCTGTAATTTTAAATTCATTTTTTTTATTGTTCTGCTAAAAAGAAATTCAATTTGCTATCCATATAACTGTTTATGAATAATCTTTGTCTAGTAAATAGTCATGCTTTTGTTTGTTCTCTCTTCTATTAATGTGTTTGCCTGCATTGTTTTCTACATAGAATTTTAGCACACCCTAGTGGACAGTTTGTATTTTTCAGTTTACACAGTTTCCATTTTGTGATGATGTTATATTAACACAGTTGTACAAATTGTTAATTCTTCTTGTTCCCAACGTTTAGACTGGGATTTTCAAACTAGTCTAGGGAAACTAGATGCCCAAAGCTGCAGATAAGCCTCCCTTAAGCTCTTTTGAGAATCCCAGCATTAGGTGTCTGCTGTGCTGAATAGAAATAGTAAGCAAGGATAATTAGGATATTTTGGACCCTCCTAACTCCATTCTGTGGATCTGACCTTCCCAGAGAGAAATAAGTGATGCCTTCTAATTTCTCCACTTTAGTTTTGGTACAGGAGGTCATTCTAAATTTGTATGTTGGATTATTTTTAATTAGAACTAGAAGTTATTTGTGTACACCATGCATATCTTGTGTATTTACTTTTGTTGAAATACATTGTAAAAACACTGGATTTTTATTCTCTTTTCACAGAACGAGGGTGAAGATTTCAGTTATGTCATTGCATTTTTCCTTGGAACAGCAGCCTGCTTGTATCAGGTAAATTCTTCCTGCTGCATATTGCAATAGTCTTCAGAAGCATTATTTAGTCGTGTACAAATGTTATCAAGTTTTCTTAAATATTGCGTATATTTGAATGGATTGACTTTAAGAGTAACCTCTGCTCTTATTTTGGTGGTGATGAGAGATCACAGCATAGATTCATGCCTACATGCTTGATTCTGGGCTATTGTTTTCTGGGATTGTCTTTTCCCAGTTAGTTTATCGAGATAGGGATGTGTTTGTCTCCTTCGGGAGGCTGATATTAGGATTGCTGTATGATTCAGCATCATAGCATCATAAAAGTTAAAGATGAAACTGACATTTTAGGTCCCTTTTTTCCATCTTCCTGGGCAAATACAGATTTTGTTCCTACAGTGTTATTCCCAGGTTAGCTTGTAAATGTCACAAGGGATAGAGAATCGTTCACTTCTCCAAAATGACTATTACGCAGATTAATACATCTCACCACCTGGAAGTTTTCCCTGATACGCAGTCTTCCTTTTCCTCTCCTCAGTGTTATCTCACTATTCCTCGTTATACAGTCTTTCTATCCCACTGAGTAATTCTTCTCCTTCTTTCATATTTGTGCTCTTAATAGATTGTTAAATTTTTAGCAAATCCCTCTTCTCTCTTAGTTGTTGCTTAGCTAAACTATACATAATTAGCTCTCTGTCTTTCCATATAAGTCAATTGTCACAGTCCCTTCATAAGCATTATGGCTGTTCACTGAATTCTCGCTAATTTTTGCTTATCTGTCTGGTATTGATGAGCCCAAAACTAAATGCAGTATTTCAAGTGTGGTCATTTTTGGGATTATCACCTCACTGCTTCATAACATAATGTGTGTTCAGTCAGAAATCTCACTCCCTCTTTTGCTGCTATATCACATTGCTTACTTGTACGTATTGCTGTCAACTACAATCCCTTCCATAAGTGTCTTTCAGCAGTACTGAAGTCCATTGTCTTGCATTTTTCCAGTTTACATCTTTTGTATCTTCTGATAATATTTCTAACCCCACTAGGTCCAGTTGCATTGTTGTCTGTTCTCAGTGACTGTATTTCCTCCCAGATTAGCAACCATTCTGAAGTTCATAAAATATTGGCCACCTCCTCTCGAAGATTATTAGTAAAAATGTTAAATAAGATCACAGCTAATGCCACACAGAAGAACACCCCAACTTGATACATTATCATGTATCTTTACCCTTTGTTTGCAGTCCTCCAGCCACTTTGCACTTCATATGATAATGCTCTTGTTCTACTATGTGATGATCTTCACTCAGAAATTTAATCTCACTGGATTATTGGGATTTTTCCCATACAGTGTGACTCCCCAATCCATACAACGTATCCGTCTTTCATGTATTGCTGTTTATTAATTTACAAGAAAACGGTTACAGTCAAGTTGTACGGGCCAAAAATTGGACCTAAATGGAATAGGAATTTAGTGCTAAATGTTAAACTAATAGTGAGGTATTTACAGAACCCCATTGATATTTGTCTTCCACCACATTTCAGGAATACCCGTTATGTCAAGGTCCTTTTCCATTGCCTGGTATTCTAATTTACCTAGTTTCGCTCTTCAAGAGTCTTGCATTGATATAGTACCTTGACATTTATAGTTTCTATTTTTGGCAATGTACCTTTTATTCTTGGTCTGGCACCAGTCTAACTGGCCCAGAACTTACCTCTGTGATCTCAACCTGTCACTTGTCTAGGTCAGCTGTAGTTTCTGTCCTTTCTTTTATAGGACACAATTAACCTTTGTACAGTAACTCCTCACTTAACATTGTAGTTATATTCCTGAAAAATGCTACTTTAAGCAAAACTATGTTAAGCGAATCCAGTTTCCCCATAAGAATTAATGTAAATAAGGGGGATTAGGTTCCAGGGAAATGTTTTTTTGCTAGACAAAAGACTAATACACACACACACACACACACACACACACACACACACAGTATAAGTTTTAAACAAACAATTTAATACTGTACACAGCAATGATGATTGTGAAGCTTGGTGGAGGTGGTGAAGTCAGAGGGTGGGATATTTCCCAGGGAATGCCTTACTCCTAAATTATCTAGCACTTGACTGAGACCTCACGGGTTAACACATTGTTGTTAATGTAGCCTCACACTCTATAAGGCAGCACGAATGGAGGGAGGGGAGACAGCATGGCAGAGAGAGAGACACCGTGTGTGTGTGAGAGAGAGACGCACATTGCCCCTTTTTAAGTAGATAAGCAAGCTGAGACAGCAGCTGCTGCCAGCAAGCTCCCTCTGTCCTGAGCCCTGTTGTGTCCCCCCCGCTCTGTGGAGATGGGGTAAAGGAGCGAGGCGGGGGAGGGTGTCATAAATATAGAGGGAAGAATAGCATAAAATCCCTCCTTGGCAGCTGTACTCAATTGCCTTACCTGTAAGGGGTTAAACAGTTCAAATAACCTGGTTGGCACCTGACCAGAAGGACCAATGTTCTCTTTTGTTGTTCCGTCTCCTGATGGAGAGAGAAGCCAAACAGGTATATCATCTCCTGAAAATATACCTGGAATAATCCATCTAAAACCACAGAAATTGTAAGTAGGGCAGGGGTTCTCAGACTTTTGTACTGGTGACCCCTTTCACACAGCAAGCCTCTGAGTGCGACCCCCCCCTTATACATTAAAAACACTTTTAAAAATATATTTAACACCATTATTAATGCTGGAGGCCAAGCGGGGTTTGGGGTGGAGGCTGACAGCTCGCGACCCCCCATGTAATAACCTTGCGACCCCTTGAGGGGTCCCGACCCCCAGTTTGAGAACCCCTGAAGTAGGGCAAGGAGATGCATTCGGTTATCTTTTGGTTTGGCTTGTGAATTTTCCTATGCTACAGAGGGAGTTTTATTCCCATTTTTGTAACTGTGAAGCTGAGCCCAGAGGGGAATCCTCTGTGTTTTAAATCTTTTTATTACCCTGTAAAGTTTCCTTCCATCCTGATTTTGCAGGTGCAGATTCTTTGACTTTTTTCTTTATAATAAAGTTCTTCTTTTAAGAACTTGATTGATTTCAGTGTCCTGAAGACAAAGGGTCTGTGCTCACACTGCTAAGGCAATTAGTTGGTATATTATTCTCAAGCCTCCCCAGGAAAGGGGGTTAAGGGGTTTGGGGGGATATTTTGGGGGAATAGGGATTCCAAGTGACCCTTCCCTGAATTTTTGTGTAAATCACTTGGTGGTGGCAGCAATACCATCCAAGGACAAGGAAAGGAATTTGTGCCTTGGGGAAGTTTTAACCTAAACTGGTAGAATCTAAGTTTAGGGAGTCTTTCATGCGGTCCCCACATCTGTACCCCAGAGTTCAGAGTAGAGGGAACCCTGACATTAGCACCCCTCTTCTCCCCCTCCCCACCCCCTGCACAGCAAGCAGGAGGCTCCCGGGAGCAGCTCCAAGGCAGAGGGCAGGAGCAGCACATGGCAGTGCAGGGAGGGACAGCTGAACTGCCTGGCAATTGAGAGATTGCTGGGCGGCTGCCACACAGGGAACTTAGGGGGGCTGCTGGTCCACCCTGGTTCCAAGCCCCCACCAGCTAGCTCCAATGGGCTGCTCTTCCTGCAAGCAGTGGACAAAGCAGGCGGCTGCCAAACAACGTTATAAGGGAGCATTGCACAACTTTAAACGAGCATGTTCTCTAATTGTTCAGCAACGTAACAACGTTAACTGGGACGACGTTAGGTGAGGGAGTTGCTGTATTAGTGACATCTCTCTAGCAGATGTCTTTTTACAACTTGAGTGCTCTTCTGCACCTGTTGATTTTTCATCAGTGCCTACCTTAAATAATCTCCCCACAAACATTATTTTCTATGCCAGCAGTCTGGTTTCATTTTGGATAAGGTGGAGCCAATCCCTTCTGTAGAGGGTGCCCTTCCCGCACATAAATTTCCCAATACCTCAAAAATTGAACCCCCTCTTCTTTACATAATCTCTCATCTGTGCATTGCAACAGTGGAGTCCCACCCCTGCCCCCAGCATACTTGCTGACCCTCTGCATGATGGAACTGGAAACGTTGCAGAGAAAGTGACCCCAGAAGCTCTGGGTGTATAAACCTTTTCCTAGTATTCTAAATTTAATTTCCAAGACTCAAAATAATAATATACATGATGTATCAAACTTAAAAACAAAATGCAGTAGCTAGGAGTAGTTTTTAGCAGATGAAGGGAAAAAACAAGGCCCTAAAACAACTTCAGAATCAGCTGTTTCAGCCTTAGTATGAAGGGTCCCTCCCTGGCAATCCTTACCAGATGTTCTCTAAAATCTCCCACTCCTCAAGCAGGTGTGATCAGCATTTCTGTTCGTTCTTTAAATGCAAATCCAATAACGTAAAACTCTCATATATAGTTTGGTCAAGAAGTATCCGTGAACGACTTGCATATTAATTCTGATTTTGAGGCACATTTGACATTGTATATGTCTAGCCTCAGATATGCATTTCCAAGAAAAAATGTCTATTTTTAATTTTTCTGAATCCAGTTTGCTCATGAATCTAAGATTTGGCTGTGATTTCCCAGCTCCAGCCAGACTAAAAAAATCTTTAGTTTGTCCCTCAGTGCTGCAACTTTGTTGAAACAGGTAGCACTGTAATATTAAGAAAGAAAAGTAACTGAGGGGTTAGGGAATCAATAATACAGCCAAGAAAACCAAAAGTTTCTATCCCAATAATGGAAAATTAAACCTAGTGTCTGAAATGTTATCTGGTCTGCTTTGCATTATTCTGGCTCGCTCCACAATCTTGTAGCATTCTTTGAAGTCTCAGTTTCCCCCAACTACAAGTCTCAAGAACTGACCTCAAGCCATTTCTTAATAGGTATAAAAGCTTTCTTTCTCTGAAGTAACATAGGGAAGCCTTCTACACAAAAGCACATTCTGTAATTGCTATGCAAAACAGTTCCCTTAAAACAAACCAACACACGAGTTTCATTACATTGCTTGTTAGAGTGACATGTTAAAGTCACAGTGCCTTGG